TAGGTACTTTTTCTCTAATAAAGGGCCCTTTAAAGCATAATTTACTTAAAAGTACTCTTACTAGAATTTACTTAAAAGTATGCTTAATGAAAACTTCAAAACCCCATTCCCAATAATTCTTACAAAAAAACTTTTAAAGTGGCCTTTGAACAAAATTATCTAAAACTAATTTTTTCAATAAATTGTCAACATTTTATCGAATAACGGCCCTGAAAAGCATAATTTATCCAAAAAGCGTACAATAGAAGTACCATTTGTTGAAGGAAGATTCCTAAAACGTTCGCTTTCTAAACGAAACGGTTTTTAAACTGACCCTTCAACCTTAAAAAGCAGCGTTCCTCAAATAAAGGCATTTTTAAATATGATACATGTTCCTTAACTGTATTTTATCTCCTAGAAAAGTAACTAAAAGAACCCTTTCTCCAAACATATCCTTAGAAATATCCTTTATTAAACGAAATGTCCTTATATTCACATTTCTCTAAGAAAGGATCCTCAATAGCACTCAAACAGTTCTCAATAGAAAATCAAATTTTTTTAAGGAATATGTTGACGACACTGAATACTGCAGGTTTTGTCAGGACGAGGAGGAAACTGAGACGGTGGAGCACTTACTCTGCCACTGCCCAACTCTTATAGGAGGAGCCAGAGGCTAAAGTGACTAAGGACGACACGCTGATTACACCGTGGATGCAAACCTACTAACTTCTCTACTCTTATTTCAGATTCTCCTTTCTTCACTATCCCTTATTCATTTCCTTCTCTTCTCTTTGTTCTATTCTCCTATCTTCTTTTGATTAGGATGAACACAATGGACCAATAGGTCTCCGAGTGTAGTGGTTATTTATACAACCTAACCTTAATAAAGAGTCCTTAAATGCCACTATGCGGATTTTCTTATGAAAATAATTTGGCCCACAGCAAATGAGGATTTTCCTCTACAGAAAAAGAATGATCCTCAATAACGATGGATTTATTTTCGATGGAAAAAATGTTGTCCTTAGCGACTGAAGTTTTTTTCTGTTAAAAAAATTTGTCCTCAAGAGTTGAAGATTCTTTTCATGGAGTGCCTTTGCTTCAGTTCATGAGGACGGAATGTAAAAGATTTCCCTCATGTTCCTCATGAGAATGCTGAGAATGTTTTTCTATACAAAAAATTGCAAATCATCAAATTCGGATATTTTTGATCCACCCTAACGTTATTTTTAATATCTAGCTTATGTTTGTTATTTCCCTAATGTCTGATTGTTAAAACCGCGTTCAAAACACACTCCTTGCTATATATAAATAAAAACCACAAAGCCGGCCGCCCATTATTGTGGCCCGCATTTACCGACATTTTCCAAAACAAAATGTTCACAACAACAAAAAAGTGTCTGCTCCGGTTTATTTGTGGTAAAGAAAATAGTACAAGGAATAAAAGGAAATCTGTGTGTGTGTGTGTGTGTGTGAAGGGGGATAATTCTATAAACATATCTGGGGGATGAGTGTGTCCATGTGTGTGCTTTACTTATAACCTCACAACAGATTATGTTTATTGTACTTTTGTGACTCATTTCCGTAGAAAAATGTTAATAGTATTTGCAAAACGCCGTGAAGTATGCATTAATTTTAATGATTCGGTGGATGTATGTATGTCTCCTATTTGTCAAACAGATATGTAACGGTGTAATTGGTCTGACAAAAAATATTGAAAAGAAAATGTGCTCGCCAGACAGACATTCAAAGTTTGACAGTTTTACTTTTATTTTCATCGACCCAAATGGTACGGCAATTTGAAGTGATTTATATGTCACCATTTGGTGGAATGGTGTCATTAAAAGCTAGCATACACATAATGTTCGAGTCATATGTAAAGCAAAATTTTCTACATTTATATTCTACATTTATATTTTTTTAATTATTACTTTAAGACCACTTCTCATTATATTCTTATACCCTCCACCATTCTATGGAGGGTATATCAACTTTCTCATTGCGTTTGTAACTCCTCGAAATATTCCTAATAGGCCCTACAAAATATATATATTCTGGATCAGCGTAAAATTCTAAGACGACCTAGCGATGTTCGTCTGTCTGTTGTAATCACGCTATCTTGCGAACGAATTGAGAAGGCTACAATTTTGCATACATGCATAGTTTTCCAGTAGATAGGTTAAGTTCGTAAATGGGCCATGTCGGTCCACGCTTTCTTTTAGCCCCCATATAACGATACCTCCCGATATTCGGTATTTTCATGATTTTAGCGACATTATTTACCGGAATTTTTTAAAATTTCGTAATGGAAGTTCGTAATGGGTACTATAACCTATGGCAAAAAAATGTGTACGCAGGTTAAGATCTTCGTATAGCCCCCATATAAAGGTACCTCCCGGCATTCGGCATTCTCATGATTTTAGCGACATTATTTACCGGAATTATTTCGAATTTCGTATTTCAAGTTCGTAACGGGTACTACATCCTATGACATCAATTTTTATATGCAGGTCCACGTTTTTTATAGCCCCCATCAAACGATACCTCCCGATAGTCGGTGTTTTGACGATTTCAGCAACATTATTTGTCGGAATCGAATCAAATTTCGTATTGAAATATCTTAATGGGTATTACAACTTATGGCAAAAAAAATCGAATGCAGGTCCACATCTTCGTATAGCCTCCATATTACGGTACCTCCCGATACTCCGTATTTTCATGATTTTTGAGACATTATTCACCGTAATTGTAACAAATCTTAATGAAGTTCGTAATGGGCACTACAGCCCATGACAAAAAATTTCATATGTGGGTCCACGTCTTCGTATAGCTTCCATATAACGGGTTTTACTTATGTGGTAGTTGTGGAATAGTTTTTGGATTTTTTTTTTTTGTTGAAATTTTTCAATTTCCTTCGAAATGGTGGAGGGTATTAAAAATATAAAAAAAAGTGATCACAAATAATAGCTAAAAACGCCGAAAATTCAATATTTAAGGAGTTATGGCCATTTTAAAATTCCTATTATTTCACAATTAAAAAAGTGATCACAAGCAAAAGATAAAAACGCCAAAAACTCAATATTTAAGGAGTTACGGCCATTATAAAATATCCAATAATTCACACTCAAAAAAGTGATCACATATAATAGCTAAAAACGCCAAAAACTCAATATTTAAGGAGTTATGGCCATTTTAAAATCCAATAATTCACACTTAAAAAAGTGATCACAAATAATAGCTAAAAACGTCGAAAATTTAATAGTTAAGGAGTTACGGCCATTTCAAAATTCTTATTATTTCACACTTAAAAAAGTGATCACAAACAAAAGATAAAAACGCCAAAAACTCAATATTTAAGGAGTTATGGCCATTTTTAAATATCCAATAATTCACACTTAAAAAGTGATCACAAATAATAGCTAAAAGCGCCGAAAATTTAATATTTAATGAGTTACGGCCATTTTAAAATTCCTATTATTTCACACTTAAAAAAGTGATCACAAACAAAAGATAAAAACGCCGAAAACTCAATATTTATGGAGTTATGGCCATTTTAAAATATTCAATAATTCACACTCAAAAAAGTGATCACAAATAATAGCTAAAAGCGCCGAAAACTTAATATTTAAGGAGTTATGGCCATTTTAAAATATCTAATAATTCACACTTAAAAAATGATCACAAATAAAAGCTAAAAATGCAGAAAACTCAATTTTTAAGGAGTTATGGCCATTTTAAAATATTCAATAATTCACACTTAAAAAAGTGATCACAAATAATAGCTAAAAACGCCGAAAATTCAATATTTCAGGAGTTATGGCCATTTCAAAATTCCTATTATTTCACACTTAAAAAAGTGATCACAAATAATAGCTAAAAACGCCGAAAATTCAATATTTCAGGAGTTATGGCCATTTTAAAATTCCTATTATTTCACACTTAAAAAAGTGATCACAAATAATAGCTAAAAATGCAGAAAACTCAATATTTAAGGAGTTATGGCCATATTAAAATTCCTATTATTTCACTGCTTTCTGTCCGAACTTAGCTGCTTTCTTACTTATTTAAATCTTGTTAATATCAAGTTCAGAACAACCGACAAACTTGACAAATATATTTCCCCTATGGTGGCAATGTAAATGGATTTAATGTTAATGATTCAAATGGAGTTGTTCCTTATCAAGAGCCACCAAACGTAATGGAAGACCAAACACCTTGGTATTCCACCCACTTCCTCACAATCACATACATGCACAGACTTTTGTGAAGACAGACAATCAAATGTGCTGAAGGTATTATTTCTGTCTTCAAAGGGGGTAATTACGACAAACAGACCAAATCATCTTTACTCCTTGCCAGTACAAATATACGTATGTGATGGCCACCTACTGTGTTGGAAAGTGTGCAGTACAACGTTTTTTTTTTTTCGTTCTCCTTCAAAATAAAATTTATAACACAAAATTTGAATAGCAAATTTTGTAAGACTGGCATGAAAAGAAGAGAAAAAAAAAAAACATTCACTCATATGCTCTGGCAGGTCCTTAGCATTCATTATTCTGCATATTAGAGGAGGATAGGAGAGCGACAACACACACACATACATTCATACATGACGATGATGATGACGACTTACTTCCGAAAAATACCCATTAACTACAAACAAGCAAAAATGGAAATTGCCTCAATTAACATTTTCAAATACGTGCATACACACACACACAAACACTACGAACGATGTATGTGTGTAGTCTGCAAAAGGGACCTTAACAAATCTCAATCATCAGCTTAAGGTTGGTGCTGGGCGTTTGTTATTTGCCTTTCATATCAACACTTTGGCAAAAAGCAGCAAACATTTCATATCTGATAGAAGGCCTAAAAAATAACCTCCCATTCATACTCGATTGCTATACCATGCTAAGTGGTTGTGGTTAGTGCTTATCACACATGTTTCTACTCATTTTGTTTTGGGGTTTCTTACACGAATAATTTATGGCTAATTTATATTTTTGTAATATTTTACATACCTCATACTCTTGCGTACATCTTGTGGCTGGGGTGCTCTCGGTCGATGTTTGCAAACAACCACAATACCCGCCACAATAATCGATGTCACAATAACCGCTCCAATGGCCACCACAGCCGCCAACAGTAATAGTGTTGATTGTTTTTCGGGGCCACCACCTATACTGGCACCAGCACCACTGGCTGCAACACCAACATTACCGCTGACATGATGCGTTGTTTCGGCAGGTGTTGGATCCTCCGAGAGAATGGATTCATCTGTAACCAAAAACAAAAAGAGTCATAAAAAATTGCAATAAATTTAAATGGAAGAAGAATTTATTTGTTTTACGAGAGCGAGTTGTTGTTGTTGCTTTTCTTTTCATTTTGCTTTTCAAATTGGAACGTATGAGTGATTTCGTTTTGGGGATCAGCCACATAAATTATACGTCACACAATGTGAAGGGTACCCCACTCAAAGGAAAAAAAAAACAGGACAACGAAGATTACTTGAAAAAAGAAATACGATAACATTCAGATTTATATGTAAGAATTAAAATTTATTTCCAGCCATTAATTGCAATCAGATTTGGGTGAAATATTTATGTAACACCTGTGGGAGGTTAACTCAAGTTGAGGAGAAGAAAAAACGAATTTCGTGAAATTCTACGAAAACATTATTCGATAATGCTATTGATACAATAAAAGTTGAAGAGGAAACAGATATGGTGTTCTATAAACAAAATACTTTTAAATGTGACCTGAGAATAGAAAAGCTTTGAAGGCAATTCCATCGACCCAAATGGTACGGCACACAAAAAAAGGAGTCCTCACAAAGAAAGGAGTCCTCTTAAAGAAGGCATCGTGTAGAAGACTCTTTCTCATTTCTCTAAAGAAAACAATCTGTTTAACAGTCTTCCATTGAAATAAGATTTTTTTCTGGTTTCGGATAAAAAAAATACCTTTTAGATCTTGGGAAGAGGGAAACTTCTAGATATTTTAAATAATGAAGGTCTTTTTACAGTATTCGATATAACGAAGACTCTTGTGGTTATCCATAGAAAGGATACTTTTTTCGGTCCTCTACCAAAAGAAGACATTTATATTGTTCACGATAGAAAGAAGATATTGAAGTGTTTGTTTTAAGAGAGAAAACATTGCTACTGTCTTCAAAGAAGACCATGAAAAAACACATATTTTAGGAGACCTTATCTTTCTTTAGAAGAAAACAAATAGTTTTTCTCCCGTAGATGAGATATTTTTTTTCTGCTTTCTATAGAAATAAGAGCTTTGTAGTTCTTTCAAGTTCTTCGAAAGAGAGAAATCATCTTTACATTTTACGTTGGAGAAAATACCGTTTATAGGAATTAAAACTTTTCTAGAACAAGAAAAACTTTTTACGGTATTCTATACTTTTTATCGTGGTTTTCCGTAGGCAGGATATATTTTTACGATCTTCAATGAGGGAAAAAACTTTTCTACTGTGTGATATATAGAGAACTACTTTTCTACCATCTTCAATATAGAGATATATAGATATATAGCGGTAATAGGGTACAGCGTTCGATTAAGTGAAGACCTTCTTAATGTAGGAAGAATATATTTTTACCGTCTTCTACAAAGAGAATAAATTTTCTGCGGACTTCTGAATAGAGAAGAACTTTTCTTATTCTTCGAAATACAAGATTTTCCTACAGACTTCTAAGATAAAAGATTTTTTGCGATCCCATATTGGGAGAAGAACTTTTTGTGATCTTCTGTATACAAAGGGCCACTAAAGGTTTGGAGGTTCTCTATAGAAAAAATACCACTTGTAGGAAAAAAAACTATAAAAGATAATTTACGGCAAGAATAGCTCTTAAAAATCTTCAAAATAAAGAAAATTCCTATAAGAGCTCAATAAGAAAATCTTCTCAACAGAGAGAATTTTTAGAGGTTTTCTTGACCTCCCAAAGTTCTTCTAAGGAGAGAACGCCTCTCAAAGGTCAACTATAAAAGTCTTCTATAAAGAAAATACTTTTTTGGGTTTTCTATAGAAATGATCTTCTGCGGCTTCTTGAAAGGGGGAAGCCTCTAGCGGTTATCTATGTAGATAACCTCTTAAAGTCCTTAAAATAAATCCTCTTGGAAGAGTTCAAAATACAGAAAGTCTTCCTTAGACAAATGCCATTTGATATCTAGAAAGATTTGAAAGGCTTTTTATGTTTTTCGACAGAGCGAAGACCTAAACCTGTCTTAAAAGAGAGTTGTTTTTAAAAGATCGCCCGAAGGGAGAAAAATTTTAAAAGGGTTCCTGAGGGAATAACCCTTATGGTTCTTCTAGAGATTATAATCTATTATAGTTCCTTTAGAAAAATGGTGCCAATGTAAATGGATTTAATGTTTATGATTCAAATGGAGTTGTTTCTTATCAAGAGCCAACAAACGTGATGGAAGATCAAACACCTTAATATTCCGTCCCTTCCTCATTATAGTTCCTTTATAAAGAGAAAAAACAGAAAGAATTCTTCCAGAGAGAGAGAGAGCGCGAGAGAAAAACTCTTCTTCTTTCGAGAGAGCGAAGACTTTTTTAAGACTTTTTTCTTTAAAGTATAGATTTTTCAAAATCTTTCAGATGGACATGACATATTAAAGATTATCGAATGGAAGACCTCTTAAATGATAGGGAAATACATCTTGAAAGTCTACCACGGAGAGAACAGTTACGCATTTGTAAAGATATCTAAAATTTATTCTTTGACAGTTATTTTGGGAAGAAGTCCTTTGAAATTTTAAGAAGAAGAAAGCCTATTCTATTCTATTCTATTTAGGATGAATTCTTAAAGGTCTTCCGGGGGTGAGTTAAAGCGATGGCATCATACAATTTTTTCCTTAAAAATCAACATATTAAATGTCATTTGGAAAGAAGGACCTAAGCTTCTGTAAAGAGAAAAATTCTTATCTGAGGTCGTTGACAGAAAGAAAAATTTTTACATGTTTTCTAGAGAGGGAAAATCTTTGAAAGATCTTTCATAGAAAGAAGACCTCTTTAAGGTCTATAAATGGAGAAAACCTATGATTTTTTTTTTTGGATTTTTCATTTCTTTTAAAATGAACGGTAAGAGTCTTAATGTTCTCTATAAGAGTCTATATGCTTCTATGTGGAGAGAAACTCTACAGGGTTGCCCATATTCGACGGACCAATCGATTGTAATGCGACTTGTGTGCGATGGAGCGCCGTCTTGTTGAAACCAGAACTGCCTCATACGCTTTCGACGAACAATTGGCATCACAAAATTGGTCATCATGTCGCGATAACGCTCCTGATTGATGGTAACAGCATGGCCATTTTCATTTTGGAAAAAAACGGCCCAATGACCGTTTTCACACTAACGCCGCACCAAACTGTGACTTTTTCGTCATGAAGAGGCACTTCTTGAATCTCCTGAGGATTTTCAGTGGCGTAAAAACGGCAATGTTGCTTATTTACGGTCCCATTCAATGTGAAATGGGCTTCATCGGACATGATAATTTTGTTCCAAAATTGGTCGTCATCTTCGGCCATTTCGATGACTCTTTCAGAGCGCTCGCGTGACGTGTATTGGTTCATGGTAAAAATCTGCTTGGACTGACGCTTCAAATGCGGTATGTCATTAAGCGATGTAATATCTCTGTCCAAAGTTATGGCGTTGCCATATGAGTCCTTAGAATATGGGCAACCCTGTACATAAAGTTGGGCCAGAGGGAGAAGACCTCTAACACATTTAATAAATGTATTAAGGAAAGGAATCTGCAAAGATAGCATAAAACTTAAAGGTCTTCCATAAAGAGAACAGTTTTTAAAAATATTTTTTATAGCGAGAACTCGTTTGAAATTTTATATAAATAGGGAAGATCACAATAAGCTTTCTATGGGAGAAAGGAGATCTCTCGCTTTTCTTCCAGGGGGAGAGAAGAACTCTGAAAGTTATTTCAGGAAGAGAGTGGAGAGAAGGGCCACAAAACTCATTTTAAAAGAGATGTTTAGTAATGGCCTTCTGGAAAACAAACAAGACCTCTTGAATGTCTTTTATAAAGTGAAGACATCGATTTTTAGAGTGATTCACAGAGAAACCAGTTTTTACACGTTTCATAAACACGAAAGGTTTCTGAAAACACATCCATAAATAGAAACCCTCTTAAATGTCATTGGGGGTGTTCTTATATATATTTTTTATACCCTCCACCTTGGAAAGGAGGGTATATTAACTTTGTCATTCCGTTTGTCACATCCTTAAATATTCGTCGTAGACCCCATAAAGTATATATTCATATATTCCGTCTGTCTGTCTGTCCGTCTGTCTATGGAAATCACGATACAGCCCACATTTTTTGACGTAGAGCGCCAAAATTTAGCAGAGCAATTTGTATTGTGTCTAGGATGGTTGGTATTGAAAATGAGATATATCGGTCCACGTTCTGGTACAGTCCCCATATAACGGTACCTCCCGATATTCGGTATTTTAATTTTTTTGCCACATTTTTTCAAGGATTTTTCTATAAATTGGTATTTGTGGGTCATAATGGGTCCTAGTTCGTGTGGCGAAACCTTGTATGTATGGGTCATCCTTTTGATATAGTCCCCATATAAAGGTACCTCCCGACATTCGGTATTTTGATGGTTTTTGCCACATTTTTTCACTGATTTGTCTAAAAATTGGTTTTTGTGGGTCATAATGGGTTCTATATGTAGGTCCACGATTTGGTATAGCCCCAATATAACGGTACCTGGCGATATTCGGCATTTTAATGGTTCTTGCCACATTTATTCTAATGTTTACTTTAACCTAATGTGGAGGGTATTAAAAGTTTGGCCCGGCCGAACTTAATGTTTTTTTTTACTTGCTTTTTTCTCTTGTTTAATAATAGAGGAGGAGACCATTTATAGTCTTCCGTGGAGCGAAGGCCATTTTGGAATTTTGTATATGGTAAGAATACCTCTGTGGACAGAAAAAATTTAAAAAAAAACTTTTAACAAGAGAAGATATGCTAAAATACTTCTACAGAGATAAACCCCTTTAAGGGTCCTGCTAAAATACATTGGCAGTAGCGGCGCCTGTTTGTATCTCATTTCATACGTTACTTTTTTCAATACGTGACTTAAATAATCTTTATTCTTCCATATTCCATGTTGGTCATGATTTTAATATTAACGCCCCCAAGCACACACACACACACTCTCACCATGATTTTGCACAAAAAGTAGAACATTTGTTAAACAAAAGATTTATTTACATCACATTAGTAAGTATTAAGGACAT